GCATTATCTTTTTCTTAGGTCCTCTAGAACAGGATACATCATCTGAGATGGAAAAATATTGGGAGTTGTAGTTTAGGGGAAGCTTCAGTCAGCACAATGAGGAGGGGAAGATAAGTTTTTTCTAGCTTTTCCTATTACTGTAACCCCCTCCCCTCAAGCTGTGGGTCACTGCAAAACAGTGTAGGGTGGTACATGTGGAGACAAAGTTGCCCCAAAACACACCTGTTGCCATTCTGTGAATGGAAGTCCCTGCCAGATCAAACTGAATTCCATCATCAGAGTGACATCAAATTGATGCAACCCTTAAAAATCTACTATACAATCTAAGATAGAGCGTCACTTAGATTACTGCTTAGGTATGTCTTTTAAAGTACAGGGAACAATGTAATCTTCTAAATGGCCTTCTTTTAATTCAGTCATATTTACCTTTTGTTGAGTAAATAATAATTTGTTGCTCCCCTCCCTCCCCGATAGTATATTTGGAGAATTTCAGATAGTATTTTGAAAAACACAGGCTTTAATGTTAGGGCACATTCTGGATCAAATGTTAGTACCTAATTTGCTAGTCTTTTGCAAGAAGGAGGAGTAGTTAAGATTTTGGGTATGATACAGAATTCAACTTAAGCAACAGATTTTTTCCACCTCTTGCTTCCAGACACAGACTCTAGAATGCCCAGTACACAAAACAAATGTGATCGAGAATGGAATGGGACACTTTGCTGGATACAGCAATAGAACAAAGTATAAATTAGAATCCTCATCTACCCTGTGTCAGTTGAAGCATCTTATTTTCATTTAAGGTTCCCTTCAGTATAAGTCGTTGTTTTCTCAATTGAACACTGTGTCATTGGAAGGGAAAAGCTGTAGCTCACTGATAGAATACCTTTTCTGCACTTCAAAATATTCTGGCTCAATCCCCAGCCTCTCCTGTTAGGGCTGCAAAAAACTTCTTTCTCAAATCTTCAGGCAAAGATGAGGAACATGTCACCCTCAATATATTGTGAGCCCGAAGTTCCCACCCGCCCTATCCAGTATAGTCAGTGGTGAAGGATAAGTGGGAGTAGCAGTTCACCAGCATCTGGAGGGGAGTCACACATTTTCTTTCTCTGTGCCCTAGAGGGCTGCTGCTACTCCGTGAAGATGTTACTGGGCTAGATGGCCCACCGCTCTGACTCAGTGTCAGGCATCTTAGTGCTTTTTGTTTTGAAAAAAACTGTTTTGTGTTTGACCGGGTCACACGTGCAAGATAAGGTTTCACTTGTATTTTCTCCATGGCACAATCAGTTGTGGAACTGGAGAAGGTTTGTGCACACCCAGTTTGTGCAAAAGGGGCATTCAGTGGGTAGCAGCTATACTTTTAAAAACCAGCCTCCGTGAAGGTAGTCTATTGCAAAACCGACAGAGAGTCAGTCTTGTGGCAGCTGAAGGACTAATACATTTTATTTGCTTAAGCCTCTGTGGACTGCAGATCACAGAGATCTGAGCCAAGTAAAACATTGTGGTCTTCCAAATGTATCAAGATGCTTCATTTTTATCAGTGGGGTTTTATTCTGTTTTGATATTATAATTGTGTTGAACTGTAGTCAGTTTCTGTATTTTTATCAATACTCAATGTTTAATTTTGTTGGTGCTGAGCTTTGAATCCCAGTTTTGGTTAAAGAGTGGTATAGATCAACTAACTAAATAAGTGAGGGCAGTTTTCATTGAGTTATAGTTCTTGTACTTCCAATGCACTGAAAATGTTCAAATCAGAAAACGCTGACTTGTTCTGAAGAGAATTTTGAGCGAACTGAAGTCACTTTTGCTCATAAGAGATAGGTAGGAAGCTCTGACTTGTGCCTTGATCAATTTGCTGCATCTAACATTGTGTCCCATCAATAAAAGCCAGCATAGTGCAGTGTCTAGAGGGATGGATTAGGATTGAGGAGACAAGGTTTGAATTCCACTTGGCCGTGGAAACTTATTTTGGGGAGTGGCAGTGGTAAAACCACTCCTTAAGTACCTCATGTACCTCAAGGACCCTATTAGGGTTGGTGTAGGTTGCACACAACTTGACAGCACATGACACACAGTTACTCTGTGTGAAAATGAATGTTTCAGCATAGGGGACAACGTTCCCTGGGTTATTGTCAAAGCCATTTAAGGTTCCTTCATATATCTTTTACTTACTGGACAAACTGCTATGTCAGAGTGTCAGTATGATGCTACATAGGATCTTCCAGCAATAGAATGTTTCTTTACTCTCTCTTTTTTTTAATCTTTAGGACTGTCCTGTAGCTGAAATGGAAGATAAAGTTCTTAGTGTAGTAAGTATGAAGATTTGTGTTAAATTTGTCCTTGAAATTATTTGTCTTCGGGACACCTCTTTTCTTTGTTTTTGTTATGTGCCATCAGGTCGCCTCCAACTTATGAGATCGTATGAATGAGTGATATCCAAAATATTCTGTCTCCAACAGCTCTGCCCTGTTCCTGTAAACCCAAGCCTGTGGTTCCTTTTAGGGAGTCAGTCGATCTCATATTTGGTCTTCCTCCTTTCTTGCTGCCCTCACACTTTCCCAGAATTAATGTTCCCCCTCCCCCAGAGAATCCTGTCTTCTCATGATGTGCCCAAAGATCCTATGAGTGAGTGATATCCAAAATATTCTGTCTCCAACAGCTCTGCCCTGTTCCTGTAAACCCAAGCCTGTGGTTCCTTTTAGGGAGTCAGTCCATCTCATATTTGGTCTTCCTCCTTTCTTGCTGCCCTCACACTTTCCCAGAATTAATGTTCCCCCTCCCCCAGAGAATCCTGTCTTCTCATGATGTGCCCAAAGTAGAACAGGCTCAGCTTCATTATTTGTTTTCTAGGACCCACTTGTTCATTTTTATGGCAGTCCAGGGTATCTTCAGAAATCCAGTACCATATTTCAAGTGAATGAGTACTCTTTTCTTTACTAAATTAAAAAGAATGATTGAAAACAGGTTTGTGTGCTTTAGAGCTCGAAAGGTATAGCAAGCAATGGGACTTCTGTGTGTTCCCCAGAGTTGTGAGAAACACAAACTCGCTGTTAGCTGATGCAGAAGCCCTGTTTAGACATTCAGCCTTCTTACAGAGAAGCCTCATTGTGACCAGACCTCCTGTTTTTTCAGGGTCTTGACTGCACAAAAGTTTTCACTCACATTCAGGTAGACAC